CTACGTCCTTCCACTGCTCCACAGCGTGTCCCTCTGCCGTCTCCTCCTGCGTCCTCTCTTCCTGACGTTGCTGACCCGCCGTCAGACCTTGCTCGTGCTGCCAGTCCTACTGTCACACGTCTCCTCGCCACTGTTGTCACTGACCCTTCCTTTGAGTCCACAGCTGCGTCTGCTCTAGTCGCTGAGTTGGTTGACTTTGCTGCGGCCTGTCGTCTAGACTACGCCGCTAGCCTTGTTGCTGAGTCTGAGTCTGTCTGTCCTCCGTCCGTCGGGGGTGAGTGTGCTCTTGGCACGGACGTCCTTGAGGACAGACAGGAGGAGTTTGAGTGCTTTGCTGCTGCTTTAGCTCATCTCGTGTCCATGCTGATTGCCCCTGAGGGAGACCAGGATGCACCAGACATCCCGACCCCACGCTTCTACGCAGAGGCGATGGAGGGTCTCTACTCCTCTCAGTGGCAGACAGCCATGGACGCAGAGATGGCTTCCTGGAAGTCCACAGGCACCTACGTCGACGAGGTTCCCCCACCTGGGGCGAACATCGTCAGTGGCATGTGGATTTTCAGGGTGAAGCGGCCGCCGGGTTCTCCGCCTGTCTTCAAGGCGCGTTACGTTGCACGAGGCTTCAGTCAGCGAGAGGGAGTTGACTTCTTCCAGACCTTCTCCCCGACCCCGAAGATGACCACTCTTCGGGTTCTGCTGCACGTTGCTGCTCAGCGTGACTACGAGCTCCATTGCCTTGAATTCAGCACTGCGTTCCTACAGGGCACCCTGCACGAGGAGATCTGGCTGCGCCGCCCACCTGGCTTCACTGGGTCGTTCCCTCCTGGTACCCAGTGGAGCCTCCGGCGGCCAGTCTACGGTCTCGGCCAGGCACCCCGTGAGTGGCACGACACACTGAGGACTACTCTTGCTGCTCTTGGGTTTGCTCCCTCTACTGCTGACCCGTCGTTGTTTCTACGCACCGACACCACTCTGCCGCCGTTCTACGTTCTCGTGTACGTAGACGACTTGGTCTTTGCTACTGCTGACACTGAGGCACTCGCCCACGTGAAGTCGGAGCTGCAGAAGAGACACACGTGCACAGACCTGGGTGAGCTGACAAGCTATCTTGGCTTGCGGATCACCCGGGACAGAGCACAGCGCACCATCACCTTGACTCAGTCACACATGGTGCAGCAGGTCCTTCAGCGCTTCCGCTTCACGTACTCCTCGCCTCAGCCCACTCCTCTGCCTACCGGTCACTCGCTCTCAGCTCTGCCTTCGGATGGTCCGTAGAGCGAGTGGCCCGTATCCAGAGCTTGTGGGCTGCCTCATGTACCTGATGACCTGCACTTGACCTGACCTAGCCTACCCTCTTAGCATCCTAGCACGCTATGTCGCTCCTGGCCATCACCGGAAGGAGCACATGGATGCCGCTAAGAGGGTGTTGCGCTACTTGTGCAGTACGTCGGGCATGGGGCTTGTGCTTGGAGGACGGCGCGACGTTGTCCTCACTGGACACTCAGACGCTTCTTGGGCTGACGACCAGGCTACTCAGCGGTCGTCTCAGGGTTACACCTTCAGCCTTGGCTCTGGCTCAGTTTCTTGGCGTTCTACTCGCTCTTCCTTTGTTCTCAGCTCCAGTTGTGAGGCTGAGATCTACGGCACAGCCATGGCTGCCCAGGAGCTTCGCTGGCTCACCTACCTGCTGGCCGACCTGGGAGAGCGGCCTCGTTCTCCTCCAGTGCTGTACGTGGACAACAAGGCCACCATTGCCTTGTGTCAGGAGCACAGACTGGAGCACAGAACGAAGCACATCGCTCTGCGCTACTTCCTTGCTCGAGAGCTGCAGCAGCGTGGTCAGCTTCGTCTTGCTTACGTGGCCACTCGGGCCAACACTGCTGATGTGTTCACCAAGGCGCTTCAGCCTTGTGACCATCAGCGTTTCTGTACTGTTCTAGGCCTTGTGCCTACTGTGCCTCACTTGCTTACTTCTTGACTCTGCTTGTACTGTGATCTCTATATATACATATATACCTGCATGCTTACACTTGCTAGGTTGTGATCACCGTACCTCTTGTTATATTATCAAACAGCATGTGAACTGGTCTTGTGACCGCTTGCTTGTGCTCGGAATTTGTGTGGTTTCCTTGAGATCCACCCTAAGCTTGCTTTGCTTTGCTTTGACTGGTCTTGTGACCATCTGGTTGTCTCCCACTTAGCCTATGGGGGTGTGTCAAACATTATACATGTTCCTATTGTGTAGGCTATAGTGGGTTTAGCCTTAGGGGGTACAACATTGCTAGGGTTTCCTACTTGTATCACCCTGCTGCCTAGTTTCACACATTCTCGTTCACTTCTAGATTCTAACAAGCGTTTGTTACAGCTCTACAGTACAGCTTCTCCCTGACCCAGCGAAGGAATGCCTCGCGTGGAGTCCTTGGGATTAGTATAATAGCTCTAGTTTGCTTCATTTTTCCCTTGTGGTCTGAAGAAGGCTAAATGCCGAAACTGGTTACCGCCAAGAATTTCTCTACAAGAGATTTCAAGCAAACTTTTTAACTAACAACAACTTTTACAGTTGAATCACTCGCTGCCACGTAAAGAACATGGCTCCTATCTGGGGCTCCATTCCCTAACATCCTGGCATTCCAACAAAGCCCGAGTGATTTGGCAACCGTCTCACGTCACTAGTTGCCTAAGACAACTCAACAATCGAGCGCCGTCCCCCCTGTCCCGAAATTCCATCAGCAGGTGACGGGCACTGAAGCGTCGTGTGACACCACGGCTTCGCATTCTCCTATAACTTAATCTCAACAACCAGTTGGAGCTCGTATTGCCACGGTCGAGCATTGCGCTACGCCAAGGTCATGTTGACATGGACATCCGGTCTGGATTATCGCTTTGGAGCGACTCGGCGGTCTTGCAGTCCTACCAGCCGAGTCGCCGCGGCTGTGCCAGCTAGGAGGATAAGCAGTGTAGACAGACGATGCTATAAAGGTCCGCCTGCCATGTCGTAAGCCTCATTCTCTCAGACCATATCATTTCGTTCTCGAAGCTGCAATCCGTCCTCTGCCGCTGTTCTTCAAACGGCTCCCGGCGGCTGCTAGTCTGATCTTGACATCCTCAATTGGTCAGATTTTATCAGGTACCCGTCACCTAGTACCACCACGCATCGATTCGTCATTTTCAATTGGCTCGTGTGACTCGTTATCCCACGACAGAGTCTGTCGCCTAACTCACTCATCACCTGTTTAATCTCTCAGGTCGGCTCGTGCGATCTGACCATTTCAGCTTCGGACGTGATCATCAAGCAGGACCAATCGACATGGATATTAAGGAGGACGCTCGTGTGGTCGTCGAGAAGAGCGTCATCGCCGACCCTGCCCCTCTCGGGCTCGCCGCGTTCGCGCTGACAACGTACGTCCTCTCGTGCCACAACGCCGGCTGGGCTCCAGACGTTATCTGGGTCGGCCTCGCGTTCTTCTATGGCGGTCTCGCGCAGCTGCTAGCCGGCATGTGGGAGTTCAAGAAGAACAACACCTTCGGCGCCACCGCCTTTTCAACCTACGGTGCCTTCTGGATGGGCCTTGCCTTGTTCGTTCTCCTCAAGATTCTCGGTTACGTAAGTACCAGCCGCATACATCCTTATTCTGCAACAGTTTTGGATGCATTTGTGACCAAATTGAAAGCTCCTAGTCTGATACTTTACGATCGTGTCACGAACAGGGTTAAAAAATTCCTTCGCTCCTTTATCTCTCACATTTGTCACTCCAGACCACGATGCTTCAAGCCACCGACGTGTCGGAGGCTCTTGGGTGGTTCCTGTCGGGGTTCTTCATCTTCAATAGCTACATGACTGTGTGCGCGCTCATGGCAAGCCATGCCGTGCTGCTCGTCTTCGGCCTGCTCGAGATCACCCTGCTGCTCCTCTTTGTCGGAAATTTCAACCACCAGCATGCTGGGCAGGGGTGGATCAAGGCTGGAGGCTTCTTCGGCCTCTTCACTGCCATTGCTGGTAAGTGGCTTCGTAGTATTATTATGTAGTGCAAATGGCAGGCATCAGTTTAATCCACAAATCTCTGGGTTTGGCTCTTTCATCTCTTCTGACTTCGACAATTGCTTCCAGACGATCACTAAGCAAGCAACTTCATTGTTGCCTGCCACGAAGTCTGACTGCCGCACTCGGTCTGACCTTTTCCCCTCTGATACTTCCTCTCCCCTTGTACTTCTTACCAGCCTGGTACGCGTCCGGTGCAGCCTGCTTCAATGCCATGGCAGGCAAGTCGGTGCTATACTATGGTCAGCCTATTCTCAAGTTCAACAGGGAGTAGGGAGCGGGGACAGCAGATGCCGAGAGTTCTCTTGGGACGTTTGTGAATAGGTATGCCGTAGCTTGGTTTCCCAATAACCTAAGAGAGGAGGAAACATGCTGCTTGGGAGCATAACTAGTCCCTCCTGTGTTGCGTGGCGCATTATGCAGGAATGTCACTTCTTCCCTATGTTTAGATTGGAGCTTGTGATTTAGCCGCACATGCTGCGGAGCCTAGGGCGTAGCTAAGGTAAATGCGTTTTCCTATAGAAGTCCCTCTGTTCTAAATGATAAACTTCATGAGTTCTACTGGCTATGGTTGGTCCATCAGAAAACAGCTTCTAATTCACCAGTTCAGTTCCCAAACACCTTAGGAACAACCATACAAACACCACTTCAAGCGGAGCTCTCAAACCCCCCCGAAGTGCCTCATCATTCCCACCTAAATAGTTGGATGTCACCAAGACAGTCTCGGTAGCTTCGCCTCTCACAATTTTTTGCCTTCACAAGGAGATGCATGAAGGATTCACGAAGAGCTTTGCATTGCATCCCAGACTTTGTACTTCGGCGATTTTACTCAGTGGTTCCATGTCTAGAGATAGCGAAATCACCCTATGTAGGGACAGTGATTCTCCTGCCCCAACCAGCCTATATAAAGCACACATTTATAACAGTACTCCAAACGTAGGCATGGCATACGGTAGGATTGCTATTCGAGAGGGCCTGGTGTCACAATCATTCCAGGAAAGATGTCCCTGATCAGCTCTGCAACGTCTTCAGCGTCTGTTCCAATTGTTTGAAGCCACTTCAGGCCCTTGAGCCATTTAATGCCAGCAGCAGTGATAGTAGCATCCCAAATCCCCAGCTTCTCCAGGCGCTTCATATTCCTCAGGCGCTTCATGCTAGAATCGGTCACCCCTGGGGGCAAGATGAAAAGCTTGAGTGCAGTGAGAGCAGTCAAGTGCTGCAGCCCATCCTCCGTCACTCCAGTGTCACTCAGAGCGAGGGATTCCAGTCCTGTCATTTTCCCCACATTCACCATGCCGGCAGAGGTGACCGCCCCACAGTCACCTATAAACAGCCCCTTGAGTGCCGTCATCTCCTGCAGCTTCACAATTCCTGCATCGCTTATTCGGGTGCTCTCAAGGAAAAGCCTCTCAAGTTTTTTCAGGCCGGAAACTCCGTCAAGAGCAGCATCTGTCGTGGCTGTACCCCGTAGATTCAGATATGTCAGGTTCGTGAGGGAAAACAGTCCTCTCACTCCCGCTTCAGTGAACCCGGTGGAATCGCCGAGGGTCAGTGAGGTTAGAGAGCGCAAGTTGGCGACTTCTGTGAGAGCAGCGTCGGTGAGGAAAGGGATGCCTCCGAGGTGCAACTGAGTCTCGCCTGGGATTGCTTCGCTCCATAACGCCATCAGTGCCTGCAGCAAGGGACAACAAGGTCCAACAGCAAGGGAAATTGGAGTGAACACCTGACATGGAGAGAGAGGGAGAGAGCTATGGCTTGTGTATACGCGAGGCTCGTAGCAACGAAAGGCTGCCCACGCACCCCTGCGTGCCACACGGACTGCAGGTGCTAGTTGCAAAAACTGTTATAGCCACGCACACGAGCAAGAAGTCCTGAGATGGAAAAGGAAAAACGAACGACCATCCGGGGCGCTCACCTCCCACGTCTTGCCTCCGACGGCGCTCACTGCCTCCAGCGCTTCGACTCGCTCCCTCAGCCCCTTCAGCTCAGCCTTCGTGTCGCACGCTGCACCGTTCCCAACCCCTTGCGCTTCGCCCTCCCGTTCCTCTGCATCCCGCTTTCCTTCAGGAGCACCACCAGCCGCAATCACTCCCACCTTTTCCCCCACCTCCTCCCTCTTCCGCCTCTTCCCCTCGCGCCTCTCAGTCCCTTCACCCTCCCCCCCGCTGCCCTCGTTGCGCCCCTCGCGGCTCTTCTCCGCCTGCCCGTCCTTGATGGCGGCGAGCGCCAGCTCGACGTCGTTGATGCGCGCCTCCGAGTGCGCCTCCGTCGCCTTCACGTACGCCACCTCCGCCGCCTGCCGCTCCGCAGCAGCCCTCATCCGCGCAATCTCCGCCTTAAGAGCGCCCATCTCCCCGCGCAACTCACTCGCCACGTCCCGCGCTTCCGCCCTCATCGTTTCCACCCGCGCCTTCACCTCCTCCACTTCCAACGCAGCGAAAATATTTTTCCGCGGTTCCGCGCCAATGCCCTCCGCTGCCTCCCCCGACGCACTCCCGTTTCCCGCCCCTTCCCCCGCAATCTTCTCCCCCAACGCGCCCGTCGCCGCCATGCCCTTGAGGAGGGCCATGGCGCGGCTCGTTTCGGCCATGTCGCGCTGCATGGCAGCCATGGCGTCGCCCTGCTCCCTCAGCTTCGCCTCCAACGCCGCCACGCGCTCGCCCACGCCGCCCGCCATCTCCTCAAGCTGCACTTTCAGCACCATGCCGTTCACTAGCTGTAGCTCCATGTTCCGCGGTGCCGTTGCCGTCGCCATTTCGTTGTCGCCACCGTCAGGCTCCTCACGGCAGAGTGCTGTCCGGCTGTATGCTACAATGCATGCACGTGTAGCACATAAAATTCGAGCTTGAGCACTCTAAAGTTTCACCTAAATAGAGCAGGAGGGTAGCTACGGAAACATGCGCAAGCGGCTTCGCTGCACTGGCGAACGAAGCGTGAAACAACTTGGATTGTTTGGAGATTTTGGGTGTCGAAATGTTACAGGGGTCTAGGAAGCGTGGGTGGTGGTTTGCTTTTCTGAGCAAATGTGGTTTGACGAATCGCAAATGTAGTTGGCCAAACAGAACCGTCACAATCGAGGCGCATCTCGGCTTGTTTCAATGAACGGTCCGATTTCAGGGACTTGCCCTAAGGCAGCCGACGTGCGACGCTCGTTGCGCGTACTCAAAGGGCATTTGTGCTCTCTGCTTGGAGGAACATTTGGACGGAAAAGGTGTACTGAGCATATACGAAGTGAGAAGACAAAGCATATTTTGACAATCATATCACTTAGATAAGTTGGACACCCTTTTTCTGTGGATGCACATGCACTTGCCTGTCCAATAAGGGAGACATTGGTAATGTTCCCCATCGCTGTGGCCCATATCAGAAATACCAGCATTGATTGATTTATATTAGTGGGAATGTGATTCTTATGTGATTCTTCCGTCTGCATCTCCGGTTATTCGCAAAATACGCTATCTTACAGCATCTCTTCCTTCAAAGCTTTCTGCTATCCCTCTCAACACCACATACTCTCTCCCCTGCGCCCCCTGCGGGCGCAACTCCAGCACCACGGCACGGGGCGGCATGAAGACCATGTGGTTGAGCAGCGGGGCGTGCGGGGCCACAAACACGCGCGCGAGGTTGAACGTGCGCTTCACTGTCAGCAGGTGTGCTTCCACCAGGCTGTTGGAAACAATCAGTCTTAAGCGCCTCTGTCGTGTCGAAACACCAAGACACAAGCGAAGCAAAGCATATCGAGGCACCAGCGAGTCAACCCTCGGAGGTTGAAGTAACCGCTGGAGGTTACGCGAAAGCCAAAGGTCAGCGACCTTTGACCTGACAAGTACAGCGCGACAGCAAGGACACACAACTGACTCGCTACAGAGCAGTTGCCTGAGTCATCACTGTATCGAACCGCAACAGCAACAGTAAAAGTAGTTACAACCGTGTCTCTTCGTATTCCTTGTACTCTTATATAATCTTGTATCTCTTTGCTTTAATCAATCAACTTTGCCCTCACATACTAGCGCAAGGTGGTTCATAATCTCCTTAATTAACGCTTCCGCAATTACAACAACTCTACCCAGAGTTCACCCCTGCAAAGATCCTAAGGGCTTTTCTCAGCCCAACATGGTATGAGAGCTATCAGGGGGAATTCAACTTCTATACCGACAACATCAACAAGCATGGCTACACAAAAGGAAAGGAGTAACTCCAACGGCTCCCAGGGCACTACTCCTACTCCACCTCCTGCCTCTGGCCTACAGACAGAGGAGGGCACGGCAACAAGACCAAGAGCAACATCTACCGAGACTCCCGCGAATCAGCCCGCAAACTTCGACCAGAGCATGATGGAGAAGTTCTTCTCCTTCATGTCCTTCTACGAGCAACACCAGCAATCGGCACCTGCGCAGTCACACAACAGCAACAACAACGGAGCAACACCCATGAGTCTAGACGGCTCATCATATGCACGAGGAAATCAACAGCAGCAGCCTACCTTTGCTCCGTACGAGCGCGGGTCCATCAGCTTCATGCCTCACCCGCAGCCCTCACCTGGACAAGAAAAGCCACTGGACGCATTACAAGTTCAGTCGCAGTTCGCGCACGTTCTAAAGATGCAGACGTCAAGACCTTTCGATGGAAAGGATTTTTTCACCTGGTCGTTTGAATTCGAGTTAATGATGGAAGGCGCGCAGATACTTGGCTTCTTCGACGGGTCCCTGCCATACCCAACGAACGGCACGCAGTATGAGAAGCAGCAGTACACCTATCAGTCGATGATGGCGTACACGATTCTACTGAGAAACATCACCCCGTCCCAACAGCAGAATATACGGTCTTACCGGGGTTACGGCAACTCCGCGGAGCTCGCGTACAACCACTTGAAGAGCCTGTATCAAGCAACAGACAGCGTAAATCAAAGTCGGTTAATGGCGCAACTGACAACGGTCGAAATGAAACCAGGCGAGAAAGGAATGGCGTATATCAGCCGATGTCGCGAGCTGCGTGACAAGCTTCTTCGATGCGGAGGGTCGATTTCTGAAGACGCCTTCGTGACAGTTATCATTGGCGGCCTCGGTCCTCAATGGCGCGCAACAAAGGCCATTCTCCGAGCCCACGGAAGAATCTCCGAAGCAGCGCTCTGCGCCGAAATCCACGCCGAACAACAAGGCATGGACCTGCAAGAAGAACGACATAAAAGGAAGACATCAGCACCGGAATTCGCGTTCCACACTCAACGACGCTACAACAACAACAACAACCGGCAGCAACAGCCGAAGCCCGTACCTCCGTTCTGCCACATCTGCAAAACTTCAGGACATCCGCGCACACACTGCCCGAATCGACAACAATCAACAACGCCACAGCGACAGCTTCGACCTTCAAGCAATCAAGTCGCTTCGACACAAGCAAATCCTTCGACCCAGATTCAAGCCTCAACGACTTCAACGGGACAACCTGGACAAGGAGCAAGAAACATCGTCAGCTGCATGGCAAGGCTGAGCGACTCTTGCATCACGGGATCACCACCATACTACTCACCAGAAGAACAACTTGATGAAAGAACTCCACACCGTGAGACACTGGAGCCGAATCCGACATACGCAGCTATCGCCCAGAGCGAACCATCCGGGAAGGACACGTGGTTCTTGGACAGTTGCTGCGGACAGCACATGTGTTCTTCAGGGCGCTTCGTGCAACGAGAATACCAACTTCAACGCGAAGTAGTCATCACCGTCGCCAACAATCAGAACCTGCGCACACGACGACAAGGAGTTGTTCAACTACAGTCACGAGAAACAAATGTCATCCTACAGATGTCCAAGGTCCTAATCGCAGAAGGCCTCGGCTACAACTTACTAAGCGTCAGCCAGCTAATGGCGAAAGGGATTCACCTCGAAGCAGACAGCACCACCCAAGAATTCAAGTTGTATCACGGGAGAGGAGGGCTTTACATCGGCAAGGCGATCCTCAAGAACAACGTCTTCGATCTTGACTTCGTTCCTGATCTCGGCACCGCCGACAGCGACGCCATCGTTAACTTCACCAACTGGACACACCCTCCAGACCTTGATCCAGACTTCAGTCCTGGCGGTTTCTGGTACTCACACACCATCCCTGAGACAGAAAGGACAAGAGCGTTAGCGACAATTCAACATGCAGCAGAGACAACATCGGCAGCAGCAGAGACAACGCCGGCAGCAGCAGAGACAACGTCGGCAGCAGCAGAGACAACGTCGGCAGCAGCAGAGACAACGTCGGCAGCAGCAGAGACAACATCGGCAGCAGCAGGAACATCAACGGGAACAGCAGGAACTTCAACACCAGTCGCTGGTCTTTCAACGGCACCACTCCTCGACGACACACCACTGACACCCGCGCAACAGCTCAACCCGACACGACGAGAAGTCCACCGAAGCGCGAACGTCACCGCCGGCTTCTACTCCAACTCCGACACGTACCGACGCTCGCTCGGACACCGCGCCGACGAAAGCACCTGGCACGCAAGGATGGGACACCCAAGCAACACAGTATTAAATAATACGATAAGAGCAGGAGTACTCGACAAGGACTCACTACTACTGACTGATGGAAGAGAACTTCAACGCGTACGTGGAACGTGTTTCACCTGCCCTGAAGCTGACTTACCGCATCAACCGTTCGCGTCTCACCATAACCCAAGCGCACCAGCTTACGCGCCACTCGAGAAAGTGTACAGCGACATCCTGTACAATCGCGAACCGGGGCAGAACGCGTACAATTACACTAACACGTTCATCGACGCCGCGACACGTTACGTTTGGCACCTGAATCTTCCAAGCAAGGATATGGCGTTCGAAGCGTTCGTCGCCTGGCTCCCCGTAGCAGAAAGGGAATCGGGCGTCAAACTAAAAAGCTTCCAGTCAGACGGGGGAGGAGAATACACCTCACAAAAGTTCAAGCAGTACCTGGCAGAGAGAGGAATCAAGCGGCTCATTTCCCTTCCCTACGCCCATCAACAGCAGGGTGTAGCAGAGAGGATGAACAGGACCCTCCAGAACACCATGCGGAAACTGTTACGTGGCATGCGGCTACCCTCTCACCAATGGCCAGAAGCAATGGACCACACCGTGATGCTGCACAACTTGCTTTCTTCGTCGTCACTACCGAACAACACATCACCGCATCTGCTGTGGACAGGAAAACTGGGCAGCACAAAAATGTTACGAGTCTTCGGCTGCATGGTACAATGCCGATCTCCATCTGCACGAGCAGGACGATTCTCTCAGCGCGCACAGTGGGGACTACACCTGGGCATCGAAAAACACTACAACGCATGGAAGATTTTCGACGTCGCGACAAAAGAAACAGTGGCAGCACGTGATGTCATTTTTCTACGAGCGGCTCACACTGCAGACGTACCTTGCCAACCTGGACGAAAACCGAGACCCCACAGGTGGCTTCCGTGGAGACCGAGCCTTCGCTTCGGCAGAAAACGAAGCTGACTGGGACGAGCAGAACGTGGAAGGAGCCTCGGAAGAAGCCGGACCCCTCCCCTACTGCTCCGTCAACGTACCAATGGACGACGAAAACCCACGCGAAAGCATCAACGCCGACGCCTACTACCATTTCGCTGACAACGGTTACGTTACACCTGCACAAGTCAACACCGACGAAGCAGAACGCGTAGGACCTAATTTCGCACCTGATCCAGAAGCGGGAGACGAAGCAGTTTATCCCGAGGACACTTCACTCCCCCCCTACACACAGAGTGGACTCCAAATCCTTGGTCTCGTCACCGCAGTTCACGGCGCAGCCATTCCTAAAGAGTCTGCGACAGTTCAGCAGGCTCTGGGGGGGGAGCATAAGGAAAAATGGCGCGAAGCCATGGACAAGGAACTGAAGGCACTGGAGGAACGCAACACGTGGAAAGTAGTTCCCATCGGCGTAGTACGGAACAAGACCATTCTCACCGGAAAGTGGGTCTTCCGTGTGAAGACAAAAGCTGACGGCACCATCGACAAATTTAAGGCGCGCTGGGTCGTACGCGGTTTCGACCAAGAGCACGGACGCGACTTCACCGAAACCTTCGCTCCGGTCAGCCGCCACACCTCACTACGCATTCTCCTCGCAATCGCCGCCATGAAGAAGAAGAAACCGCGGCAAATCGACGTCGCGAACGCGTTTCTCTACGCACCCGTTGACGCAGAAATTTTCGTGGAACTACCGCACGGTACCAACGGGGAGCCGAACCAGGTCTGTCAACTGCTGAAGTCGCTCTACGGGATTAAGCAAGCTCCGCGGCTATGGCAGCAGTATCTGCACGCCCGCCTCATCCGCATCGGCTTCAAGCAATTACCTCACGATCAGGGGATGTACCGACTCACGAAAGGCGCAGACTACATCCTGCTAATCGTCTACGTAGACGATCTCCTTTACATCGGCTCAACTGACGGCATCACTACCTGGTTCGAAGGGGAGCTGCAGCAAGATCTCACGCTCACGGTCTCATCTACCGTCACTCAGTACCTCGGGCTAAACATCCGGGAAGAAGAAGATGCGATCTACCTCAGCGCCGCGAAATACGCCGACACCATCGCCAAGCGCTTCATACTTACACCAACCGCCATCTCTACACCGTACCGCTACACGTCAGGCAACAACAAGGAAGGCCCCGTTCTACTCAAGCCCGCCGGCATACGCGACTACCAGAGAAAGCTGGGCTGCCTTCTCTTCGCAGCTGTTACCTGCCGTCCAGACCTATCGTACTCTGCAAGCCAACTCGCAACCTACCTCAAGAGGCCTCAAGCGGAACACCTAGCGGAACTCGACCGCGCTCTTCACTACCTCGTTAGCACCCCAACGATCGGCCAAACCTACCACAAGAACGCAACCACACCGACTAAGTTAATCGGCTACGTCGACGCCGATCACGCTGGCGACTCCGACAACAGGCGTTCGCGCACCGGCTACGTCTACCGCCTCGAACCTATCGGACCTATCTCTTGGCAGTCGAGCAAGCAGGAATTAATCGCTCTCTCGTCAGCTGAAGCAGAATATATTGCACTCTGCTCAGCCACCAAGGAAGGACTTTACCTTCGCGAGCTGCTGGAAGAAGCGAAGTTAGCTGAGTTACCTAACTTCACCCTGTTCTGCGACAACCAGTCGGCAATTCGCATCGCCAACAAGAACGGCTTCGCGAACAGGACGAAACACATTGCCCTACGCTACTTCTTCGTGAAGGACGAAATCGAGAAGGGGAGACTCGAGCTGTCATACTGCCCCACGACCGAGATGGCAGCTGACTACTTGACCAAGAAGCTCGGGAAGCAGAAGTTTGAGTACTGCATGCTGCTGACTGGACAGAGCCACGTCACCAGCAGCGACACTCTAGAAGCGAAGGGGAGTGTTGGAAACAATCAGTCTTAAGCGCCTCTGTCGTGTCGAAACACCAAGACACAAGCGAAGCAAAGCATATCGAGGCACCAGCGAGTCAACCCTCGGAGGTTGAAGTAACCGCTGGAGGTTACGCGAAAGTCAAAGGTCAGCAACCTTTGACCTGACAAGTACAGCGCGACAGCAAGGACACACAACTGACTCGCTACAGAGCAGTTGCCCGAGTCGTCACTGTATCGAACCGCAACAGCAACAGTAAATGTAGTTACAACCGTGTCTCTTCGTATTCCTTGTACTCTTATATAATCTTGTATCTCTTTGCTTTAATCAATCAACTTTGCCCTCACATACTAGCGCAAGGTGGTTCATAATCTCCTTAATTAACGCTTCCGCAATTACAACAACTCTACCCAGAATTCACCCCTGCAAAGATCCTAAGGGCTTTTCTCAGCCCAACACAGGCCACATGGAGGTCCGCAAGCTCCTGCGCCGTGCCCGCTCCTGGCCGCTTGCCCCACACCACCACCCAGTCGTCCCCTGTCCCCCTGCTGCTGCTGCTGCTGCTGCTCCATTTGCATCTGCTTCTGAAGGTGCTCGGAGAGTGAAGTCTGGATTGAAGTTGGAAAAGACATTTGCTGCAGAAGGAGGCGGGAAGGGATGGATGGCGCAGGAAAGGTAGGTCAGGATCGAGGGATTGAACACAACGAAGCACCAAAAAAAAAAAAAAAAAAAAAAAAACTCCACGAATAGTCATACCATGGACAGAAGGCAAAAATGAGGGAGTGACGGGGGAAGGGAGAAGGAATGCGTGATCAAATGTGACAGAGGGAAAGTGTGCATTTGAGTGTGGGCGGAAGAAGAGGGAGAGCTGGAAAAGACGGGCGCAGGTGCAGGGGGTGGGTGTGAGTACTGGAAAGAAAGAGTGCGTGTGTACGCAATGGGAGGGAGAGGCGTCGAGGGAAAGAAAAGGGAGGAGGGAGGAGGGAGGAGGGAGGAGGGAGGAGGGAGGAGGGAGGAGGGAGGCGGGAGGCTGGAGGCGGGAGGGGGGAGGGGGGAGGGGGGAGGAGGGAGGGGGGAGGGGGGAGGGGGGAGGGGGGAGGGGGGAGGGGGGAGGGGGGAGGGGGGAGGGGGGAGGGGGGAGGGGGGAGGGGGGGAGGGGGGAGGGGGGAGGGGGGAGGGGGGAGGGGGGAGGGGGGAGGGGGGAGGGGGGAGGGGGGAGGGGGGAGGGGGGAGGGGGGAGGGGGGAGGGGGGAGGGGGGAGGGGGGAGGGGGAGGGGGAGGGGGGAGGGGGGAGGGGGGAGGGGGAGGGGGAGGAGGGAGGGGGGAGGGGGGAGGGGGAGGAGGGAGGAGGGAGGGGGAGGGGGGAGGGGGAGGGGGGAGGGGGGAGGGGGAGGGGGGAGTGGGGAGGCGGGAGGGGGAGGGGGAGGAGGGAGGAGGGAGGAGGGAGGAGGGAGGAGGGAGGAGGGAGGAGGGAGGAGGGAGGAGGGAGGAGGGAGGAGGGAGGAGGGAGGAGGGAGGAGGGAGGAGGGAGGAGGGAGGAGGGAGGAGGGAGGAGGGAGGAGGGAGGAGGGAGGAGGGAGGAGGGAGGAGGGAGGAGGGAGGAGGGAGGAGGGAGGAGGGAGGAGGGAGGAGGGAGGAGGGAGGAGGGAGGAGGGAGGAGGGAGGAGGGAGGAGGGAGGAGGGAGGAGGGAGGAGGGAGGAGGGAGGAGGGAGGAGGGAGGAGGGAGGAGGGAGGAGGGAAGGGAGGAGGGAGGAGGGAGGAGGGAGGAGGGAGGAGGGAGGAGGGAGGAGGGAGGAGGGAGGAGGGAGGAGGAGGAGGGAGGAGGGAGGAGGGAGGAGGGAGGAGGGAGGAGGGAGGAGGGAGGAGGGAGGAGGAGGAGGGAGGAGGGAGGAGGGAGGAGGGAGGAGGGAGGAGGGAGGAGGGAGGAGGGAGGAGGGAGGAGGGAGGAGGGAGGAGGGAGGAGGGAGGAGGGAGGAGGGAGGAGGGAGGAGGGAGGAGGGAGGAGGGAGGAGGGAGGAGGGAGGAGGGAGGAGGGAGGAGGGAGGAGGGAGGAGGGAGGAGGGAGGAGGGAGGAGGGAGGAGGGAGGAGGGAGGAGGGAGGAGGGAGGAGGGAGGAGGGAGGAGGGAGGAGGGAGGAGGGAGGAGGGAGGAGGGAGGAGGGAGGAGGGAGGAGGGAGGAGGGAGGAGGGAGGAGGGAGGAGGGAGGAGGGAGGAGGGGTTCACTGCCAGCGGTAATAGGTGCAGGTTGGGGCGCGGGAGTGGCGCCCGCATGTACGCCTGCTGTTGCTGCTGCTGGTGGTTCTGTTCTTGGTCGTCATTGGTGTGGTGGTTGTTGATGGTGGCGGGGCTGTGGAGGTGGGAGGGAGCAGGGCAGGCGTTGGAGTGGAAGATAGTGGTGCCGTTGAACACTCGCCCCCACGCCCCCACGCCCCCCCCTTCTCCTCTCGTTCCCCCTTCCCCCTCCCATATACCTCCACCTGGCTCATCCACTGTGGCAGCCGTTCAAAGCCCGCACAACGCACTGCGCACCGTCGCTGCTGCTGCCAGCACTGCCAACAACAGCACCCGCAACAGACGTGGCAGCACCAGCAGTCAAGTTACCGGCAGCGCCAGGGCCGGGGCGAGGGCAGGTGGAGGGCGAGCGGGGGCGGGCGAGCAAGGGGTCGTGCAGGCCTCTGTTCCAACACGCCGCCACGCCACTCAACTCGCCTGCACAGTTGCCAAACACTGGACATGCCACTCAACTTGCCCTAGCGTAGATGCACAGAGGTCAGCGCTCCCCGCCTCGCCTTGCGCCGCCGTCCCTTGCCTCCACACGCCTCCCCACCGCCGCCCCCACCCGCCCTCTCGCCCCCCCTGCTCCTCTCCCTTGCACCCGCCCTCCCAACGCTGCTGCTCACACTGCTGCTGTTGCTGCTGCTGGTCCTCATGCCACTGCTACCACCACCATCCCCGACTGTGCCCCTTCCAGTTAAAATTCTCCGCTCTTAGCCCCTCTGCTGCTCCCCCTTTTCCCCAGGCCCCGCTTGCGCGTCCCGCGGACCCCTTGTCCTTCCCCGCGCCACTCTTTCCAGCTCCCGCATCTCCTCCGCCCTCCGCTGGCAATATCTTGCTCCCCCTTTTTATCCGCGCCCCCGCCCACGCGGACTTGCGCCGCTTTGATCCCCCCCCTTGGCGCCTTGCGGCTTCGCCTGCGCCGCTTTCGATTGCGCGGAACGACGTGCGGGTGCGCGGTGAGTCCGATCTTCCACGGAACCACGTGCCTGTGCCGCTCCCACTTCGCGAACCCGCGGACAAGCGGCAGCAGCAGCCACGACCCGATCCGCCGACTGCCGCCGCCGCCGCCGCTGCTGCTGCTGCTGGGGCCGGGAAAGAAGAAGCGGAGCCACGAGTTGCGCGAGGAGGAGGGCTGCGGGGGGGCTTTGCGCTCCCTCATGGGGTGCTGCGCGACTTGAGGGCAGCTCCCCCCTTGCTCAATGCCGCCCCAAGCCACGTGCTGCGACAAGCCACGTGGGCCGGAACCTGGGAACACGCGGGTGATTGATACGCGTCTCATGCCCTCGACGATGATCTAACATGGCTGCTGATGCACATCTCCTCTCAAGCTTATCTCGAGAATACTCTGTGCCCGTTAATATTTTGGGCGACTATGGCTGGCGAGAGTCGATTGAGCAGGCTGGATTAGGACTGATTCGTCACTTTAGGGCGCGTGTCTTTTGCAAATTTGGTTGAAGTTCATGTTTTTTGTTGAACTTTCACATTTGAACCTTGGTCGACCTGTGCTCGACTCTTTAGACTTTTGGTGGTCGAGGAGCAGCGTTAACAAGCCCGAGTCGCGCATGGAACAACAAAATTCGACTTTCGAAGTTCAACATTAAACAGTACATAACGAGTCGCGCTAAATTTTCGTAGGTTACCTAAATTCGCCCAGCTGTTCGTTCGCAAATACAGCTTCGGTAACATTGTAATCTGTACCTCGTTACTTTCGTAAATCTCGCACATTTTCGTGCGTGTGCAAAAGAACACACGATTGGTTTTACGTAAACGTAAAAATCCGCATGCGAGGTCGACTTTAGTTTGTATCCAACTTCCTTTTCACAGTTTGAACTAAGAAACACGACTCCCTTGCGATGAGTTTAACGAAATTTGCGAAACGGGTTACCAGCAAAAGCTCAACTTTTTTTCCGAACGTCTACAGCAAAAGACACGCGCCCTTACTGCTTTGGCGGCAATTAGTCTTCTGGCTTCTCAAGTGATTCGCCGGGCCAACTCTACGGGGAACCGACAGGAGACTAGCATTATAGACAGGAGAAAGGGGGGTCTTTTGTGTTCAACCTTTATTTATCATAGGCGCAACAATTCAGAAGTTGGAAAGACTGTTAGACTAATTTTATCGGAGCTTCGAAAAACGAATCAGAATTTTGGCACCAGCTGGCAAATCGAACACCGTTCTCACCTCATGGATGTGCACTACCGAACTTCCCAACCCTACAGGAGCGAAATAGCAGAGCATCACCTTGAAGGTGAGCGACACTCGAGCGAGTAGCCAAGTCGCTCTTTAGCCTCGCCACCACTTCAATCTCTGCTGCCCTTCTCTGTCCACACTAGTACGGCGCCGCCACGGCTGGACGTTTCACACCCCGACGTTTCACAGCTCAGCGTGTCACGGCCCGACGTTTCACGGTTGGTCAAAACACCATAGGATGCTCTTTAGTGCGTGAGTTCAACTCTATCAGTCCAGTCAGACAGCGTTCCAGCGAGAACGGTATGGTACTGACAGTGAAGAGGGAGGAGATGGCGGGCGGCGAGGGCGAGCGCGTGGCGGCGTTGGAGGCGAAGCTGAGGGAGCAGGGCGACGCCATGGCTGCCATGCAGCGCGACATGGGCGCGCTGAAGGCGGAGCTTGCGCGAATGAGGGTTGCGGCGGAGCGGCGGGCGGCGGAGGTGGTGAACGTGAACGCGACGGCGGCGCACTCGGAGGCGCGCATCAACGACGTCGAGCTGGCGCTCGCCGCCATCAACTTGAAGGACGGCCGCGCGGGGGAGAGCCGCGCCGAGCGCGAGGCGGGCAGCGCGGGGAAGCGGCGGAAGAGAGAGGAGTTGCCGGGGAAGGAGGTGGAGATGGTAGCGAAGGATGGGGTGCAGGAACTTAGGGAGGAAGGGTGCCAAGACGTGGGAGGTGAGTGCTTGATTGGTTTAAATAGTCTTTCGTTCTAATACTACTGTGGCACGGATGGCTGATGTAAGATGCTCATGCCAATCTCTCTCACACGTCGAACCTATTTGTTTGATCTTGCTATGCTGCTCGTGGCTGTAGGCATTGCTGACGCTGTGGAGCAAGGCTGCTCCGGCCAAGACTCGCATGGACCTCAGTGGCATTTACCTCAGAGACGCTGCGCTCTCTAAACTCACCTCTCTGCGCTCTCTCACGTGGCTCAGCCTTCGAGACTCCTCCGGCTTCACTGCAGAGGGGGTGACGCAGCTCTTCTCGCTCACGGGTCTGACGACGTTGGATGTGGCGATGACAAATGCAACGGACGCTTCTCTTGAAGGTATTAGCAGCCTGAAATCTCTTAACGGACTGTACCTTGGTAGGACCAAGATAACCGATGCAGGAATAGCGAAGCTGCAGGGGTTGACTGCACTCGTGGCGCTGGCAATAGATTGTTGTGAGTCAGTCACCTCTGCCAGCATGGTGTACGTGGGGAAACTGACGTCACTGCAGTTTCTCTGGCTGAGTTCCACTGCAGTGAGGGAGGAAGGGCTGAAGCAGCTGACTGCCCTCACCTCTCTCGAGCTCTTCAGCTTGCCTCCAGGGGTGACAGATTCCACTTTGAAGCTCCTGAGGAACATGAAGCGCCTGGAGAAGCTGGGGCTGTGGAATGCTAGCATCACTGCAGACGGTCTCAAGTGGCTCAAGGGGCTCAAGAGCCTTCAGGTGATTGCAACAAGATCTGAGAATGTGGAATGCCTGATTAGGGACAGCTTCACTGAGATGATTGTCACGGAAGGTCCAATCTGATATTTCTAGTGTCAAATACCCTATGTTTGCTACCATTTCTCAGTGCATCTGTACCGTTAAGGAAATGGAAATGTGACAACTGTCCGTAACCAGTTACAACTGCAAATGCAATGCAATGTACAATGTACGCGCTGCAGTGCACCTAGACGCTGGGGACAATTGAGGAGCATCATTGGGGTTTTTTCTCAGCCCAAACCTCCCTCACCCTTCTGTCCCCATCCCAGCCCCCTGGCACAGCATAAGCTAATGCACACATGAGAGCAGAGCCACGTCATCCCCCAGGGCGCCGCCCTGGAGGGCGGCAGCAGCGGCGAGGCCATCTGCGTCTGAGTGGGCGGTGGCGTTGGCAGCAGCTCTGCCAGCTCTGCCAGCTCTGCCAGCTCTGCCAGCTCTGCCAGCGCATGCGCCTCCGCCCCCACCACCTGCGCTAGCATGTGGAACTGGGGGACAGAAAAGAAAGGGAAGCGGGGGGGAGATTGATAGAAATGAAAAGAAATGCGCCTCCGCCCCCACCACCTGCGCTAGCATGTGGGACTGGGAGGAGGGGGAATGGGGGGTGGGGGGTTGTTGGTGGGGGGGTTGTTGCTAGATTCGGTGGTGGGGAGTCAAAAGTGTGAAGCCAAAAAAGAGAGGAGGAAAGTGGGTGAATGGAGGGAAGCATGGGGGTATTGCAGAGTTGGAGGGAGATTGGCTCGAGTGTGGAGGAGCGAGAAAACAAAAACAGGCAGTTGCACAACAGGGAACTGCAGCAGCAGACTGCGATAGAGAAACACAAGTTGGAAGAAAAGCTTACTTAGACACAGTGTACGTACCCCCTACTGCAGTTTGGGTGCAGGCGGGAAGGGAATAGAGGTGAGCCTAGTGATGGACAGAAAGGGGAGGAAAGATACATCAAGCAGCGTGTGGTGGGTAGGGATGGAAGAGGCAGGGTGGGGAGGTGTGACTGTGACAGGGGGAATAAGGGTTACTGCAGGGTGGTGGTGTAATGACAGCAGGGTAGGAAAATGCGTGGAGGCAGGTGGGATGCAATGGCAGAGAGAGAACTGCAATGCACATGACAAGAACAGGTAAAGCGGCACTGCAAGGGCATGCAAGCAAGGCGGTTTACTTTCGGCTGAGTGACTTGACTGGCAGCACGGCAATGGCATTAGCCAGCACGTTGCGGGCTACCATCTCTCCAATACTGCTACCAGCATCTGGTGGGGAGGGGGGGCGAGGGGAACGGGAGGTGCAGGGAGAGGAGGGAAGGACGGGGGGGTGGGGGTTGCGAGCTACCATCTCCTCCAACACCGCCACCAGCATCTAAAAGGGGGGGGAACGAGGGGCAAGCAGGGGGGGGGGGGGAAGGAGTGGACAGGAAGCAAGGGTGGGTGGGAAGGAGGGGGGAGAGGGAGGGGAAAATCGATTTCTGTGATGGGGGGACTGGCGGGGTAACGGCACAGCATCTCCTTTCTAGTAGCGAGGTGCACAGATATCAGAATCTCAATGCGAGAAGCAGAGAGCAAGAGGAGAGGGAGGCAAGGGATTTTGGGAAACAACAGCAAGGAGAGATGGAAGAGAAGGTGAAAGGGGTACTGCATGGTGGTTTCAGAGTACAGCCGGCGAGCAGGCAGACATGTGCACCCTCACAGCAAACCCCCCCGTTCCCCGTCATGCCCCTCCCCCACCCTCTCCCTCCCAACCCCCCCCCCCCACACCCCCCATATCACCCTGCTCCCCTCCCGCCCAGCAAGCACGACCTGCATGGCGGCTCTGAGAGCAGCAGTCGACCGGACAGACATACATGCAATGCACCCGCCACACCAATCTCCCCTTCCCTCCCCACTCCCCCAATCCCCCCTCTCCTGTGTCGCCCCTGTCGCCCCTGGCTGACCTCGGGTTACTTCAGCGATGTGTCCTGCATGGCGGCTCGCAGCGCAGCAGAGTGCTGGAAGCGCCGCAGCTTGTTGTCGTGCACCACCCAACAGGGACTCTCATGCGCCGCCACGGCTACCGGGAGCCACTGGGCAGTCCGCCACTATGTGGGGCGCTGCCGCATGATGACAACCTCTTGCTGTGCCGCTGCTTCCATGCTGTCATGCGAGGCCTCATGGAGCATGCTGTCCTTGTTAGTTGCCGCCCTTCTCCCTGCTCTCACTCTCCCTGCTCTCACTCTCCCTGCTCTCACTCTCCCTGCTCTCACTCTCCCTGCTCTCACTCTCCCTGCTCTCACTCTCCCTGCTCTCACTCTCCCTGCTCTCACTCTCCCTGCTCTCACTCTCCCTGCTCTCACTCTCCCTGCTCTCACTCTCCCTGCTCTCACTCTCCCTGCTCTCACTCTCCCTGCTCTCACTCTCCCTGCTCTCACTCTCCCTGCTCTCACTCTCCCTGCTCCCACTCTCCCTGCTCTCACTCTCCCTGCTCCCACTCTCCCTGCTCTCACTATCCCTGCTCTCACTCTCCCTGCTCTCACTCTCCCTGCTCTCACTCTCGCTGCTCTCACTCTCCCTGCTCTCACTCTCCCTGCTCTCACTCTCCCTGCTCTCACTCTCCCTGCTCTCACTCTCCCTGCTCTCACTCTCCCTGCTCTCACTCTCCCTGCTCTCACTCTCCCTGCTCCCACTCTCCCTGCTCTCACTCTCCCTGCTCCCACTCTCCCTGCTCTCACTCTCCCTGCTCTCACTCTCCCTGCTCTCACTCTCCCTGCTCTCACTCTCCCTGCTCTCACTCTCCCTGCTCTCACTCTCCCCTGCTCTCACTCTCCCTGCTCTCACTCTCCCTGCTCTCACTCTCCCTGCTCTCACTCTCCCTGCTCTCACTCTCCCTGCTCTCACTCTCCCTGCTCTCACTCTCCCTGCTCTCACTCTCCCTGCTCTCACTCTCCATGCTCTCACTCTCCATGCTCTCACTCTCCATGCTCTCACTCTCCTGCATGCGCTTGCGCTGCGCCCCTAGGCAGTCCTCTGCCTGGCGTAGATGCACATGGGAGGGGGGTGGTTGCAGGGATGGTGATTGAGAAGGAGTTGGGAGAGGAGAGCGGGATTGTCGTGGGGTGTCACATGCACGCCATTGCACTGCAAAACTCGGTAGTCTCAGAATGGCCCACATGGCACTCAAGGCCCACATGGCACTCAAGGCCCACATGGCACTCAAGGCCCACATGGCACTCAAGGCCCACATGGCACTCAAGGCCCACATGGCACTCAAGGCCCACATGGCACTCAAGGCCCACATGGCACTCAAGGCCCACATGGCACTCAAGGCCCACATGGCACTCAAGGCCCACATGGCACTCAAGGCCCACATGGCACTCAAGGCCCACATGGCACTCAAGGCCCACATGGCACTCAAGGCCCAGATGGCACTCAAGGCCCACATGGCACTCAAGGCCCACATGGCACTCAAGGCCCACATGGCACTCAAGGCCCACATGGCACTCAAGGCCCACATGGCACTCAAGGCCCACATGGCACTCAAGGCCCACATGGCACTCAAGGCCCACATGGCACTCAAGGCCCACATGGCACTCAAGGCCCACATGGCACTCAAGGCCCACATGGCACTCAAGGCCCACATGGCACTCAAGGCCCACATGGCACTCAAGGCCCACATGGCACTCAAGGCCCACATGGCACTCAAGGCCCACATGGCACTCAAGGCCCACATGGCACTCAAGGCCCACATGGCACTCAAGGCCCACATGGCACTCAAGGCCCACATGCCCATGTATGCAGGGAGGGGCGGAAGGGACACATGGGGAACAGGAAAGGGTTTAGGAGTAGCTGTGGTAAAATGAGCACTGGCAGCGATGCTGACAGCTTGTGGTGCATGTGGTGGAGCATGCACGGATGCAGTAGACACACAAAACAGGGAGACAATGGCAGGGAGAATGAGATTAATCAACAAGAGACACGATTGCAGAATCAGTAAGCGAGAATGGGTGAACTAACAGCATGCAGGAGTACAAGTAGCAAACCCTGATTGGGTTGTACCCATATGGGCTACCCCACTACAGCCTACATAACATGCAGCATATAAGTTTGACACACCCCCATAGGCAAAGTGGAGGAGAACAAGAGGTCACAAGACCAGTCAAGAAAAGCAAAGCAAGCTCAGGGTGGATCACGAAGTCACCACACACTCCGAGCACAAGCAAATGGCCACAAGGCCAGTTCACATGCAGAGTTATATAATGCAAAACAAGCAGTACAGTGATCAAAACCTAGCAAGTGTAAGCATGCAGGTATAAGTATATAGATCACAGTACAAGCAAAGTCAAGAAGTGAGCAAGTGAGGCCAAGTAGGCACAAGGCCTAGAACAGTACAGAAACGCTGATGATCACAAGGCTGAAGTGCCTTGGTGAAGATATCAGCAGTGTTGGCCCGAGAGGCCACGTAAACAAGACGAAGCTGACCATGCTACTGCAACTCACAAGCAAGGAAGTAGCGCAGAGCGATGTGCTTCGTCCTGTGCTCCAGTCTGTGCTCCTGACACAAGGCAATCATGGCCTTGTTGTCGACGTACAGAACTGGAGGATAACGAGGCGGCTCTCCCAAGTCTGTAAGCAGGTAGGTGAGCCAGCGTAACTCCTGTGCAGCCATGGCCCCTGCGTAGATCTCAGCCTCACAACTGGAGCTGAGATCAGAAGACGAGCGGGTAGACCACCAAGAAACAGAGCCGGAGCCAAGGCTGAAAGTGTAACCCTGTGACGACCGCTGCGTAGCCAAGTCGTCAACCCAAGACGCGTCTGCGTGTCCAGTGAGGACAACTCGACCCCATCCTCCAAGCACGAGCCCCATGCCCGACGTACTGCACAAGTAGCGCATCACCCTCTTAGCGGCCTTCCAGTGCTCTAGTAGGTGTCTCCCGGGCGCAACGTAGCGTGCCAGGATGCTAAGAGGGTAAGCAAGGTCAGGTCGAGTGCAGGTCATCAGGTACATGAGGCAGCCCACAAGCTCTGGATACAGGCCACTCGGCTCTACGGACTCGTCCGAAGGTGGAGCTGAGAGCGAGTGACCGGTAGGCAGAGGAGTGGACTGTGGCGAGGAGTACTTGAAGCCGAAGCGCTGAAGGACCTGCTGCACCATGTGTGACTGAGTCAAGGTAATGGTGCGCCGTGCTCTGTCCCGGGTGATATGCAAGCCAAGATAGCTGCACAGCTCACCCAAGTCTGTGCACATGTGTCTCTTCTGCAGCTCCGACTTCACGTGGGCCAGTCTACCAGTGTCAGCAGTGGCAAAGACCAAGTCGTCGACGTACACGAGGATGTAGAACGGCGGCAGCAAAGTGTCGGTGCGTAGAAACAACGACGGGTCAGCAGTCGAAGGAGCAAACCCAAGAGCCGCAAGCGTCGTCCTCAGTGTGTCGTGCCACTCGCGAGGCGCCTGGCGGAGACCGCAGACTGGCCGCCGGATGCTCCACTGGGTACCTGCAGAAACCACCCAGTGAAGCCAGGTGGGCGGCGCAGCCAGACCACCTTGTGCAGGCTGCCCTGTAGGAAAGCAGTGCTGGAGTCAAGAGAGTGAACCTCGTAGTCACGCTGAGCGGCGACGTGCAGCAGCACCCGAAGAGTGGTCATCTTCGGGGTAGGGGAGAAGGTATGGAAGAAGTCAACTCCCTGTCGCTGACTGAAGCCTCGTGCAACGTAACGCGCCTTGAAGACAGGCGGAGAACCCGGCGGCCGCTTCACCCTGAAAATCCACATGCCACTGACGATGTTCGCCCCAGGTGGGGGAACCTCGTCGTTGTAAGTGCCTGTGGACTTCCAGGATGCCATCTCTGCGTCCATGGCTGTCTGCCACTGAGAGGAGTAGGGACCCTCTATCGCCTCTGCGTAAGAGCGCGGGGTCGGGATGTCTGGTGCATTCGGGTCTCCCTCAGGTGCAATCAGCATGGACACAAGATGAGGTACAGCAGCTGCAAAACACTCAAAGTCCTCCTGCCTGTCCTCAAGGACGTCCGTGCCAAGAGCACACTCACCACCGACGGACGGAGGACAGACAGAGCCAGACTCAGCAACAAGACTAGCGGCGTAGTCGAGGCGACAGGCGGCAGAAAACTCAACAAGCTCAGCAACTAGGGCAGACGCAGCAGTGGAATCAAACGAAGGGTCAGTGACAAAAGTGGCTAGAAGACGTGTGACAGTAGGACTAGCAGCACGAGCAAGGTGTGACGGTGGGTCAGGGACGTCAGGAAGAGAGGACGCAGGAGGAGACGGCAGAGGGACACGCTGTGGAACAGAGGAAGGACGAAGTGGCATCTGGTGCGTGCCGGGGACAGGAGGAGGACGCTGACGCGGAACACGACGACCCGTGCGAACAGGCGACGCAGGACGAGACGCAGGCTCACGACGCTTTGTAAGACCTCCGGTCTGCTCAGTTTGAGGAGAAGGGGCAGGCAGTGGGGAGGCTGGCTGTAACTGCGGCCGCGACTGGTCAGGCGGTGGACACAGTAAGGGAGGAGTAAGGCCAGTATTAGGCGGGAGACCAAGAACCTACTGAATCAGTGGAATGAAGTACGGTCGCGGCCGCACAGTGCCTCCAGAACCAGCACCAACAGCACCAGCACCCCCAGGGCCAGCACCTCCAGCTCCAGGGTCTCCAGCTCCAACTCCAGCAGCACCACCAGCTCCAGCTCCAGTGCCTCCGGCTCCAACGCCTGCAGCACCTCCAGCTCCAGCAGCTCCAGTACCTCCAGCAGCTCCAGCTCCAGCTCCTCCAGATCCAACGCCTGCAGCACCTCCAGCTCCAGCAGCTCTAGTACCTCCAGTACGAGCACCTCCGGGACCAGCAGCTCCAGTACCTCCAGCAGCTGCAGCTCCAGCTCCTCCAGCTCCAACGCCTGCAGCACCTCCAGCTCCAGCAGCTCCAGTACCTCCAGTACAAGCACCTCCGGGACCAGCGGTTCCAGTACCTCCAGCAGCTCCAGCTCCAGTGCCTCCAACAGCTCCAGATCCAGCAGCTCGGGGGGAGCGAGGCAGTGCAGTAGGGGAAGAGACGGTAAAAGGGAACCGACTCGTCGAACGTGACGTCCTGAGAGGGCAGGACACGGCACGAGGTGGGATGGTAAATCTGCCAGCCAGGTGCGTCAGGGGGAAAGCCAAGGAAGACGCAGGGAATGGCGCGGGCGGAGAGCTTGTCCGCGGACGTATCGCGGACAAAGGCACGAGATCCCCAGACCCAAAACACCGACACGTCGCCAACCTCTCCCGTCCAACGCAGTGTCGGCGAGGTCTCCGGCAAGGAGACACGGGGCCAGAGGTTGACCTGATGCGCAGCGTACCGGACCGCAAACGGCCACAGAAAATGGGGGGCAGCCGCATGGATCATGGAGGTACGAGCGACCTCCATGACTAAGCCAATGCGGCGCTCAGCAACCCCATTCTGCTGCGGAGAGGCCGGAAGCGTGAACGACTGGCGAATGCCCTCCCCACGACAAAAGTGCCGCAGAAGGTCGGAGGCAAACTCACCACCTCTGTCAGAGTGCAGACGCAGGACTGGAAGGTCCGTCTCAAACCGCTCGCGGAGCTGGAGACGGACAGCGCTGATCCAAGGGATCAGAACATCAGGGACCTCCCCCATGGTGCGCAAGGGGAAGACCGTGGTGTAACGCGTGTAGTCGTCAACAACCAGCAAACAGTAGCGCTCGCGGCCCTGTCCACGGACGCGGGCTGGGCCCCACACGTCCATGTGGAGAGTCTGCAGGGGAGCAGTCGTCGGGGGAAACGAGCAGGAGTGAGGAGCGGCGCGCTGCCGCCCCTCGACATAGGGAACGCAGGGAGGGGCAGACGAGGGTGGGAGGGGAGGCAGAGACCTGGGAAGACCAGAGACAAGGAGACGGGAGTGCATGCCACGGAGGCGTGGCACGGAGGGGTGACCAAGGCGGTGGTGCCAAAGGAGCGTCCGATGCGAGAGGGCGCGACACGAGCAGGGGGGCGCTAGCTGACCTGACGCAGACGCAGACGCAGCTACCTGGGGAGGCTCAGTTGTCAGTGTGTACAGACTCGACCCAGGCCGACGGGTGAACGTGGCCAGGTGACGGCCAGTCCGGGAGCACGTACAGATCGCCACACGCTGTCCGCCAGGGGTGAAGGTATCAACCCATTCATCCTGAAGGACGGCGTTGCTCACTAATTTCGTAGAGAATGAGGGGAGGTGAAGACGTGACAGTGAGCCAGACAGAACCGACGGACACGTGAGAACAGTGGAGGAACGTGCAAGAACTGGGGCCCCCAGAGGGGTCAGCCAGAGAGACTGCAACAGGTGCAGGGAGTGGTGTGACTGTGGTACTGTCGCGAAAGAAACAGCGGGAAGCACCTGAGTCAAGCGTGAAGGTGTGCAAGGCCGCAGCAGGTGCAGTACCAGAGAGAGCAGTCTCACTAGCACCTAGAGCAGCAGACTCACTGGCACCTAGAGCAGCAGCCTCTATACCTGGGTCGAGCGGCACACACAGGTAACAGTCACCCTCAGCACTAACAGTCAATGCATACATGGCAGTGAGGATAGCATCATAGTCTAGAGCAAAGATATCCACCCTCTGCCTAAGCAGCTCCAGCCAGCGGGGGAGCTCAGCCGCGTCGCCAAACTCTGCACGCCAGGCGTCGCTCAGACAGGCGAAGCAGCGGGACTGTGTGTGACCAATTGTCCCGCAAGTCTGACCAGCCCGATCACCTGTGCGAATGACGTACGGGCAGCGAGCAGTACTCTGAGACGCCCCACGCTGAGCGAACCACTCACGAAGCTGCTGGGGCGTAAGGGTCTCGCGCGGACGCCGCTGCAGTTGCATCTGGCCACCGC